GCTGCAGAAGCTATAGTGTTTCCCATTGAGACACAGAGTTTAACATAAAGGTAAACCCATTCATCTTTACTTACAATCCTCTTGGATATCCTATTGTCCTGTGTCATGGAGATCTTGCAGTTTTAGGTCTGTAGGTTCATCCCTTTCACATGCTCCAGTAGTTCATAGATATGGTGGATGTTGGAACGGGCCAACTCAATGTTCTGGTTCTGAGCCTGGCTGATAGCTTGATTGGTCAGCTTGCTAGCTTTTCCTGATCATCACTACCTGCATGAGCTCTCCGGTCCTGCTTCAACTAGATCAACCAATGCAGCATACAGCAAGGAGCAGAGGCAGTTCTGCTCTTGGACCATTCAGATCTGGATTTCCCTGACTCATATCATTAGGGCCAGCTCTACTGTTTTGCCCAGGAAAGGTACAGGACCCTGGCTCCTGATTGCTGTAGGGGGCAGAAGAGGTGGGTTAGCCTCTACTGTCATGCCCTGAGGGCTGTTTCAACTGTGAGCCCCACAACAGGGTCAGCTCTAGTGTGCTTCCTAGGTGAAGTGCACATCTATTGTGAGGGGTGGGGTCATCTTTCCTGAGTGTGAGTGCAGGAATGAGTTCTCTCCTGAGGGGTAGGGCCAGCTAGTCTGCTGCAATAGCCATCAAGGGGCGGGATCAGCTATCTCAGGGCCAGTGAAGAGCAGGGCACAACATGATTCCAATGACCCCCATGATAACATGGGGCATAGACATCGCCACAGACCCCAGCTGCAGTAGCATCATGGACCCAGACATGGCCCTTGGGTCATGCCGCAACGGGTCAGAAGCTCAGGGCCAGATGCCGCCACCGCCTGGTGACATCACAGGTCATTCACTGCCCTGGTGGCAGCATGGCCTCTGTGCACCAACATAGTTTCAGGGGGCTCACCAGACCCCGGGCATCTGTAGAACCCTTGGTGGACACTGGAGTCATAGACACCACACAAGACTCTGGCCTCTACAGGGCCACAGACCCAGACATGGCTCTAGGCAGCAGCTGTGCTTGTGTCTGGATGTCTATAGCCTTCGGGTGTATTGTTATAATCTTCCTCTCTCTGAGAATATTGTGTTCTTCATGATTCTCTGATTTGGTAGTGAAATGTATAAATGTTCTGTATAACTTAATCCCTAACTCAGTTGGTAGAGGCTGTGACTCTTAATCTCAGGGTCATGAGTTCATGCCTTGCATTTAGTGCCATTTGTAACTGGAGGTTTCTCTCCCACCTACCAGTTCCCAAATATCTACTCAGAGTGAATCATGGCAGATAGTTCTGTTGACTTATTAGTAGTTCTGTTGACTTTATTAGTCTAAGTGGTCTCATGTTTTTGGTGTTCTGTGGGCTCCTCATATTTGTATGAGTGTGTCTTTCCATAGTTTGGGGGAATTTTTCTCCTATGATCTTATTGAAAATCTTGTATACACCAAGAAAATCTGAATACTTCTTATCTTCCAGGAAACTTTATACATTATTTCCACATTGAATAACAAGCTAAGTATTCTCTAAGATTTGTGATATAGTTACAGTGACTTTTCCTATGGGGTTTTGAATAAATGTCTGTAGGGATATTTCATTTTTATTTTAATAAATAAAGCTTGCCTGAAGATCAGAGAGTAAAACAGCCCCATTGGCAGGCTTATAGACCAGGCAGTGGTGACACACGCCTTTAGTTCCAGTAGCTACACTAGATAGATAGAAACCAGACAGTAGTGGTGCAAGCCTTTAATCCCAGCATTAGAGAGGAATATAAGATAGAAAGAGACAGCTCTCAGATAATGTCATTCTGAGGAATACTGGAGGCAGGATCACCATTTTGGACTGAGGTAGTGGTAAGAGCCAGTGGCTGGCTGTTTTGTTTTTCTGACCTTCAGGATTAACTCCCAAAAGGTCTCTGGGCCTTTATTCATTTACATCTTTTTGAAAATTTCCCCCTTATTTGCCATACATTAGATTACAGCACACTCAGTGTAAATGTTTTTTTCCTTCTCTTTGTGACTTTGAAGTATAAACTCATCTATCTTCAGTTAATAGTTTAAGTAAAATTTCCTATGATACTAATAAATACTAATAACCAGCAAAAATGAAAAAGTCACATTTTGTGAGCTCCAGGACAGGATCCAAAGCTACACAGAGAAACCCTGTCTCGAAAAACCAAAAAAGTGTGTGTGGGGGGGAGATATATTAAGAATTCAATACAAAAATAGCAGCAGTTATTAAAATGTGTACTGCCTCTGAAGATTTCTATTACCCTTCAGAATTTTCTATAATTTTCTATAATTTCAACATACATGTATCAGAATTTATAAATTTCTGAGTTGAAATGTTACAGTTGTATGGAAAAATGAAGCATTATAAGAAGGTATCTTAAACTTTGTTTGCCATAAGTAGGCTGGGGCTCAGGAACTTTACATGAGACCTAGTGCTTGATGTGCTTCCATTACATTTTCTCTAGAATATTATATACAGCCACAGAAATTGAAAATCAGTGTTACATTTCCAAATCACTATTTTGGCATGCTGTGGACACTGCCACACAACATTCTGAATTCATTAGGACTTCGTGCTTGCTCTAATGACCTGCTGTCATTGCCCTGAAACTTTTTTTTTTCTTTTTTTTTCCATGAAACTTTCAATATACTCCCCCCCCCTTTTGGTTTCTTGAGACAGGGTTTCTGTGTAGCTTTGGAGCCTGTCCTGGAGCTCAATTTGAAGACCAGGCTGGCCTTGAACTCAAGAAATACTCCTTCCTCTGCCTCCCCAGTGCTTGGATTAAAGGCATGTGTCACCCACTGCTCAGAACTCTTAATCTTTGAACAAGAAATTCTACATTTTCCTTTCATACTTGCTTTCCCATGTTATACTGACAGTACTGTTGTGGGATGTGAAACAGGCTTCTGTTTTATAAGTCACTCCCAACTGACTTTTATACTAACAGAAGAGAGATTATAAAAGTATCCTTCTTATATGCCCTACAAATGTGGCTATTAAAGAGAATTAAGTATTTTTGTTGCTACTTTTATTACAACACACTGTTACATGGTTGATTTATTTTATTGTTATATTGTTCTCTACAATTTAGTTATATTACACATCATATTTACTTTTGATATTTAAACTTCTGCCAGTGAGATTTATCTTCTTCAACAGTTATATTGTGAATAAAACATCTGAGGTTCTGTTAGCCATTCAAGTATGACTGATCCATAAACTGTTTAAGAAAAAATTCTATCAGAGGAATTCACTCACACATGAAGGCTAATTATAATATGTTAGAGATCTAATATTTTGACTCACCAGGAAGGTATAAGAATAACTACTCATTAACTTAAATTCTTAGTGTCGGATGATTATAACAATGGGACATGAGCATCTATTAGTGCTGTAAGAAAAGCTGGAGAGCATAGAGACATAGGACCCATTTCTTAGATGATAATCCCTGTAATGATAATCAATGCACATATGTAGCACCAAATATTAAGAAAAGTGTATCCAAGTTCCAATACATTTTGGACTTTCCTAAGCATTTTGGGATTCCAGGGATACTCCATCTTACAAGTTGTCTGAAAATGCAGAGGTTAAAAAAAAAAGACTTTTTCTTTTTCTTCTTGAGACATAGTCTTCCTGGCATTAAAGTCATGAGCTCAAGTGATCTTCTGCTCCTTCTGCCTCCACCTCTCCAATAACTGTGACAGGGATGTGTCAGTCTACATAGACTAAAAGAGACTTTATTGTTGTTTATGGATGGTGGTCCAATTATTTACATTTTAGGAATGTAACACACTATTGTTGTTACTACAAAAGAAAAGGCGAAGTATCAGATACACTTGTAGGTTCAACCTACGAAAACAAAAGCAAAAACAGTAGTTTTTAGAAGAGGAAGAGACTTTTAAAGGCATTTTATTTTTATGTTTTATTTTCAAAAAGTGAAGAGGAAACCTTAGCTGGGCCTAAAAATTTGATCAATTATATGAAGGATTTCATTTTTATCCATTAGTATCCTCACATAAACACATGCTTGACTGTTTTTCTCCTGCACCACTGTAAATTAAAACAGAATCAAAACAGATGATTCCCAGAGCAACTGGTTCACTATCATTTCTATCATACCAAATAAAAGTGAACTCCCTCTAATTTGGATGACTGAACTCTTTCCTATGTAAAAGAAAAAAGGGTTACCTCTAAATAAAAAGCTTCATTCTCCTTTCATTAAAACAGTGTTTCCTTAATCAAAACATTTTTATTGAATTCAGCTAAGTGCATCTGTCTGCCAAAATACCCTTTAAGGAAATATTATGAGTAGGAAAAGGGGAAAAGAAAGTTGATTATACACATCATTTAACAGGAGTATGCAGAAATGTTAAGGCAAACCATTCCATTTTTAACTTAAATAAGGTCTTATTGTGGATAAAAATATATATCAATCGAGGTTCCTATACTTTTTATTTGTAAATATAACTAAAAATGGCATACAGAAAAATTCTAAACTAATAAAAAATTCAGCAATGATGAAATGAATAAAAGATTATCAGTTTATTTACTGGAAAAAGTTTTGCATTACAATAGGGTCAGTAGGTAAGATAAACCAAGATAATAGTTTTAGTATTCTGTTATTTCTTTAGCAATAGAGTGCCTGTCACAACTACCGAGTGCATGATCAGATCGTAGAAACAAGGATATGCCATACATATTCTCCCTTGTGAAATTCACTTGGGATTATCTACAATAAAAAAAGTAAAAAAGATCATTAAACAATAAATTCATAAGAACCTCCTAAACTTAAAAAAAATGCATGTGTCTTTGATAATGTCTCTAATGTTTGGTTTTTAAATAATTAGCAAGAAAGGCATTTCTTAAATTAGTGTTTTAGTCATGTTTTCACAAGGTATTATTATTACTAGATAGAAACACTTCACATCATTTATGCTCCCAAAGCATAATAATAAAGGTAGGAATAACTGAATCATTACAAGAATAATCATACAGTGTAGAAATCAGGTTTGGTCACACACAACACAAATTTAAATGGGAAAGAAACACAGCATCAGAATCATGTCTTCGTATATGCACAGCCATGCAAATAAAAACATGGGTTACATTACAAAAATGTCATAAAATATTTTTAAAAAATTGTTTGATTGACTCTAACAGTCAAACCATTGAGCTTAAAAGTTCTGTGGCAATAACATTAAAAAATATTTCCTCCAATTTACTACACAATAATAGTTATGAACCCAATGATTCCTTCTGTAGACCAGGCTGTCCCCGAACTCAGAGATCTGTCTGCCTCTGCTTCCCGAGTGCTGGGATTAAAGATGTGTGCCACCAGTGCCCCCAATGATTCCTTCTCTTTCTCCATTACAAGAAAAAGATTTATCAACACAGTGGTGTCATTTCCCTTAACTTCATACCTTTCTGATATTTAAAATGAGTTTTTAAATGAAAAGCATATATTCACACTAAGAAGCATCAAATTTATTTCTCAGTGCTCTCAGAGTTATGAGCAAAGGCTGATTATGAAATATAGCTAAAATAAAAATAAATTCCCAGCAAATGTTGTAGAGCATTTAAATTCCAATCTCAGAAATTATCTGGTTTAGTGGGTCATTTAAGCTTCAGTTCAGATGTGGCAGATTCTTAAAACAAATCCAGCTGAGAGATATAAAAATATACTTGAGGAATAAAGCCATGCATTTCAGTATGGAAAAGAGACCCAGTACATGTAACAGACGCCTTGCATTCCTAAAGAAGAGATCACAAGACAAGAAAGGTTTCTATGTAGAATACATGTTATGAATATGGGAAAGCTTACATGATGTGAAATATTTCATGCAAACATCTTATACGTTTGTCTTACAATAACAGAAGTTAATTGCTTCTGCCTCCTCATAAAGTCATTTCTGAAAAAAATCCTAAATCAAAGAGCGTATAAATTGTCTCATTAATTTGTACCTTGAGTAACAAAACCAAAGAGGTGTCTCAGTTGAAGTCTTTCAGGTGTTTAAATAAAAGAACCATGCTACAATGTATCAGGGACTGTGGTAGCTAAATTCCATTTACATAAAGATGCATTTAATTTCAGACAACCCATTTTGGGTTATTATTACAGATAACAGGAATGGTCAGTCAGGAGCTAGACACTGATTTTGAAGTACATACTTATTTCTCAACATTTGCACTGGCCATACTGACTAGCATGACTTCAGTTCAGCAGCTTTCTGCTTTATTGGAAAACATTATTTTTGCAGCCTTTGTGCAAAGATTATTTTAAATCAATCTGATTTAATTTAAGTCAAGAAAACTTTTAAACACTGTAAACTTTACGAATTTAGTTATATGTACAGTATCAATTCATTTGTGACATTCTTAAATGGAATGAACGGCATTCCATGTAGGGAAACACTTTGCGGTGCAGTGGGTGCTACCCAGGGTCTCACACAAGTCCAGCAAACACCCCATTGCTGAGCCACACCCTAATATAATAAAACTTGACATTTATCATAGTAGAAAATATATTTGATTTATTCATACCATTATTTGTAGTCTGTGCTTGGTTATTAAGGAGGATTTTATTCAATATAGTGTATAAGGGAATGCCCATATCTTAGCTGGTTTAATAACCAATTGTTCATGCTTATTTAATAGAGAAGGACTTATCTGTACAAGAACATGTTCTATAGCATAGATAAAGCAATGTTAAAGACAGAAATTTTGTCTCCTCTAACCTAACTGATTGCATACCTTCTACTTAGGAAATTTTCTTGAGGATATTTGATTTTTAAGACTCTGACACTGAAATTTTTTAAACTGAAGTTGCTATATTCCAGACAATTTTGAAGAACTCGTTTAAAAAAGAAAAACCTTAGAAAATTAAGATTTCTATCCTAGTCCAAAAGTAAAAATATTTCATGACCAATCAGTAAAAATTAAATATATTTTAGATTTTAAAACAAAAAAAAATCATAGAATTGTGGGTTCCTATAATAATATGTTATTGTAAACCATCTACTTACAATACTACCAGTAACATCCCATTTTTAAAAACAAATCCTTATAATCCAATTACTAATTTTCTACCATTAAAAATCTCTTTCCTACAGGTACTACCAACCCTTCACATTTAGTCTTATGGGATCTTAGCTGCTCTCTGACACTTGTTAAGTTCTTTTTGTTGGACCTCATTATTGTACCTCCTCTTCTTTAGGTATATATAAAGTATAACTTCCAAATAAATCTTTTTTCATTCCTTACTAAATTCATATTTTCTAGAAGTTTTCAAAATTCCTTTTTCCTCCTCCTCTCTATTTTTAATCCAGAATTAGATATTTAAAAAATTTATGCATCCAAAGTTTTTTATGCTGCTAAGCACTTAGGCCAAACACAATTTATTGCTTCTTTATGTTTTACTCTTATGTGTTAATGAAAAATCCTCAGTGGGAAACCATTTCTGCACTAATTCTTCTGTTCAATTTTGTAATTGTGCTTTCATTTTAAAAAAAAATGTGGAGACCAGTAAGATGGCTCAGCAGATAAAGATGCTTTCCACTAGGCCTGATAATCTGAGTTCAATCCTTGGGATCCACATAGGTGGGAGAGAAGCAACTCCTGCAGGTTTTCCTCTAACTTTCTCACCCGTGCTGTGGACATGCATGTGTGTACATGCATGCTTATGCAAACATACAGAGAGAGAGAGAGAGAGAGAGAGAGAGAGAGAGAGAGAGAAATGTAATGAAAATTTTTACAGTAGTTGGTTACTTTGCTAACTAATCTTGATCTTTTTTGACATGTTTACAACAATTAGCATTTGTAGTGTTTCTGAAGTTTTTATTTTAATATCAAATGCACCTTCAGTTATTTTTACCTAGACTCATGTTTTTGTTTCATCAAATTTTCACTTTCTTTTGACATCCTAATATCTTTACAGTTATTTATTTTATCAGTACTATGCATTTATTCATTGAAAAGGTCTGTAAATAAATAAATATAAATATGGCTCAGTTTAAACTATACTAAGTGATGTTGTAAAACATAAATAAACGTTAGTCTCTTACTGCTTAGAGATTACCACCTACTTTTGTGCTGAAGAAATTCATTTCAAAGTTTCTATATCTTCTTGGCAAAGTTCTGCTAAAAATAATATTTTTTAGAATTAATATTTCAAAACATACATTTCCTACTTTGTTAAAATAAACAACTAAAATAAACCTAGTTTATAAAAGACTTATTGATAAATTTCATATTGGAAGAAATCAACTTTGTACACAAATACAGTGCAGCTAAGTCAACAGTGGTTACACAGAGAAGAGATCCATTGTTGGGTTCCCAATTCAAAGACAGAACTTATTCTGGGGTATTTATTTAAAAGGTATGTTATCCCTCAGGTCAAAGTCAACTTAACAACTATGACACATCTTGGATTACCATTCATGCTTAGGGAAGGGTGACAAGAAAAAGAAAAAAAAAAACAGAGGAAGTTGTCTTTAACTGAACTCTAATGAAAATCCATACTGTCTCACTAATATTGGCACCAGGCAGATTTAACACCAGTAAATGAGGAGAATGTGCTGGAACAACAAAGCAACATAGGCAGGAGCAACTATGTGGGGATCTGACTGGGTAGGACTTCCATCAGGATCTTTGTTGTGTGTCGCTGTACTTTAACCTGCATCCCTATTTTTGCAACTTTTTCCACTATTACTCCAAGATGCATAAGAAATGACATGAAAACATCATTTAGATAAGGAATATAAAATTGTTGGGTTGCTTTGGTAACCATGACTGCTACTCAACAGGAATATAAGAAACTTGTGGCTGACTGCTGACCTTTGGAGCCCTTCACAAATGTGCCACCCCTTCAGCTCCACAAGCTGGGCAGCTCTGAAATCTCTGTTGTCTTCCTACAGCACTAGTCATCATTTTTTCTGACAGTGAGGACCAGTTTTGTTTTGAAGAGGAGTTAGAGATATTGTTACATGAAAAAGTAAAACCTTTATGGTTTTGTGTAAGTTAAGGCTACCTGACAGGACAAGGAGTCAGGGTTAGGCGCAATTATGTGGGCAGCACTTGAAAACTGAGGAATCCAAGATAGACCTTACAGCTCAATTAGCTGTTGTCCTTGTTTTCTCAATAATGCAAAATTAAATTTTTCTATGAAATTCTATTGCATTAAATAAAGTCATAAAAGTTACTTAGCAGAATCTGTAAATTAAATAGGAACATGTCTTATCTCAATATAATATGACTGTAGGCACCTGAGTGTTTGTCAAGAGTAGACAATAAGCTAAGGTTCATTATCTTTTTTTTTGGCAAAAAAGATTCATTGTGAAAGAAACAAATAACAAAAACATATACTTTCTGCATAAATTAACAACCAAAGGCTACCTTACAGCTATTTATGTATATATTTTTTTCATTTATTGTGATCCCTTTTAGTGGGAAACCCACAGTAAGACCCTAAATTTGGAAAAAGTTTAAAAATTTTGTGGTTATTAAATAAACACACCGTTTCTTTCCTCCAAGCAATTTGCCCTTTTTTAACACGACCATACACACATACATACACACAATCACACAGGAGCAGCACCAATATATCTACTCAACTGCAATTTTCAAAAATTAAAGATACCAACAAAACTTGATTAAACCAATGAATCATATCTTTGCCTCTTCCATAGATTTTGTTAATAAATGTCCAGTGAAGAACTCTAGTTTTAAAAAAGCCATTAATGGAGTATGAATTAGAAAATAACTACATGTTATTTTCTAATATTCATGTAGCAGCAAAACAGTTATTGTCAACATTCTAATGCACCTCATTTGTAATTCTTTGCAAGAAGGATCGTAATCTTGCCAGTTCCAGATTTTAAACTAAATTAAACCAAGCGAACTATGATTATTTAAAAACAAAGGAATTCTGCTTACAAAAATTATCTTTATAAACAAAACCATATAGCAAGTAAAATATAAAGTATCAATGAAAAATATTGAAATCAACTTCTATGGCCGACTCTGAAAGATAGGGAAAGATGATTTTTACAATATATTTATTTTACACTGTCTTGGATCTCTTTTACGCTATGGAGGTAAAGCCAGCTGTCTGAGATACGTATTTCTTACAAATTTCAAGAGAACTGTTGCCATTTGATTGCAGGTCATCTATGACTCAGAGAAGTCATAAATTGTTTAATCACATGAGGTTCAGTGCATCATTTTATTCTTCTCAACTCTCTCTCTCCTCTTCAAAAATGATGGATTGTAATACATATGTACATCTAATCTCCAAGAAAACACTTGCTAGATCACGGGCAGTGTCCTCAGTGTGGCTATAAAACCTTCAGCCCAGATACTCATCCATGAGAAATGAAGACTAGGGATAAGGAGGCTTGGTGAGACAGTGGAGAGGAGCACACTGTGAGCTGGAATGTGGCTGCTCCTCAGGGAGGGCAATGTCCAGACTGAAAATGAGAAGAAGGCAGTTAGCAAAAACATACTGGTAAACAACCACATGTACTATGGTGGTCAGACAAATTATTGCACTATATATTTAAACACATGAACAAAAATTTTGTGAAGAAAATTGTTTAAATTCAAAGCATGCCAAGAAAAATTCATGTTTTAAAGCAAAGCATGAAAAAAAAAAGAAAAGAGAGAAAAATAAAAATGTAAAGAGAAACTTTAGGAACTGATATATGAACTTGTCCCCCAACTCACGTATTCAATTTTTGCACAGTCTCCAACTACAAGATCTTTAGGTGGCAATAAAGTGTCACTAGATCAGTCCCTTTCTAACTTTATTAAAGGTACAAATCACCCAAAGATCTTGGTAAAGGAGACACTGAGTTAGTAAGGCCCGGGCCAGTAATGGACTCTGGAGTCTGTATTTGCAATGTGCTTTCTGTGGTTCAGATGGTGCTAGCCAATGGACAAAGATACTAAATACTAACATTTATAAGTATCTAGAGTTAACCATAGAGACTCCAAAAGACAATCAATTTGATTGTGAAGCTTAAGTTGTTCTTAGGGTTCTTCAACTTTGGTTTGGTGGTCTGAAAAAAAAAACCTGACGACTTTTATGACATTTTACATTTGTTAAGTGAACGATGGGGTCTTCAACCGACAGGCCATCTCTGAGAGCCTCCAGCTGTAATGAACCTGATCTCAGACTCCTTAATGTCTTGTTGAATAATCTTGAAGAATAAAGTAGTAAAACCAGTGGTTCCCAAGGGTAAAACTACAAAATACATTTGGGTGGATATTTTTTAAAATGTAACTATCAACAGAGAGAGGGCACCATGGGGATTTTTTAAAATTAGAAAACAAGTTCTACTTCCCCATATATTATGAATTTTAGTATCATAACTCATTTCTATTGGGAGTTTTGGTCATAACTATTCAAAGTTTATTGTTTATTTGATTAAATAATTTTAAAAACAATATTATTGATGGATTAATTAAAAATTGGATTAAACAAATATTTTGAAGCTTTGATATTGAAATTGTCAATCAGATGTATCTGTTGAACATTCACATAAAATCATAATTAGGAAATATTTAGTGAGAAGTTACTTCCTTCCTGAACTCTTTGAACCAATGTAAATTTAGTTTAAAAGGAAACTGATGTCCTATACTGATTATGATGACCAATGTTACAAGTTAGTTTGTATAGCACAAATAATAAAAATCTAGAGACTGAAATTGGGGTTCAAAGTGAAAACCAGAAAAACAAAGCAGCCAACCACTAGAGAAATCTTACCTCTACCAAGGCTGGGTGACCACAGACGAAAGAGACAAAGCCTCTCTCTCTCTCTCTCTCTCTCTCTCTCTCTCTCTCTCTCTCTCTCTCTCATTTGATATTCCTTTTAGTGCTGGAATTAAGGGTGTATGACTCCCTAATACTGGGATTAAAGGAGTAGGCCAACATCACCTGGATTTGTTTCTGCAGTGACCTTGTGTAGCCCAGGGTGACCTTGAACTCACAGAGATCCATCTGACTGTCTCCCAAATCCTGGGATTAAAGGTGCAGGTCACCATTGCCTGACCTCTAGTGGCTTTAGCTTTGCTTCTGGTCTTCAGGCAAAATTTATTTATCAAAAATACAAATAATATATCACCACAATTTTTCCTATTTTTTTTTCTTTTTGATGATGCTTGGGAAGGAACACAAGACTTCATACAGTTTAGGAAAGCAGTTTGTGATTAAGCCACAGCTCTAGCCCATGTGTATCAAATGCAGCAAATACAAAATCCAAGAAGGTAGTGTATGGTTAATCAGCTAATGATATAAGGAAAAAAGTCAATGCTTGGTAAGGTTATCCTTAAGCTTCCCAGTAGTCAATGGTTAAGGAAATAACGGATTAAAAATAAATCAGAGAGACTTCCTCAGACCTTGTGGTGTTTTGTAAGTTAGAAATAATTTCTTTCTATGAAATTAACCTTGAAGTACAGCATAAGTTATAGCAAGTAGTATTATGGTAATCATGTTATGTAGGAAGACCATGTAGGATACAGTACTCTTCTTCCTAGAATGTTTTTTGCATGGCTAGCTAAGGATAACAAAGCACAAGCAGGGGTTATAGTTCAGGTGGCCCAACATCTTGATGTGTCATTCATGATGACTTTATTCCTATTTCAAATTTGTTATAAAGTGAAAGCTAGTATCAGTATTTTAAGCTTGCATAAAATGTAGTAGCATCATGTGTTACTAACATATATATATATACTAACCTATAGAAAACATTATTAACTGAAAAGTTAAATTATTTTAACATAAACATTTGACATATTATTACTTAGGGAATACCATGAATTCAGTTTCCGTTTTGATTGCTAAATATCTTTAGAAGACCATTTGTTATTCAACCTTTACCATAAATAACTTTTCACTGGAAGAACATGGTAACAGAAAGCCCAACAACTCATTACTAAGACTTTTAAGGTATTAAATTGGACATATCTTCAGGAAGTTTGGCATATATTCAAAAAGGTTATTATTTTTCTTCATTTTTTCCAGGTAAACACAACTTAGTAGATGTGAAGACATAATAAATATTGCACGTTTTTATATATTTAAATATTATGTCCAAGGCTATAACATCATTCCCCATTGCATCATTACAGATATCATGTTTTAATAACTTAGAATAGAATCAGCCCAGCCGGGCGGTGGTGGCGCACGCCTTTAATCCCAGGCAGAGGCAGGCGGATCTCTGTGAGTTCGAGACCAGCCTGGTCTACAGAGCTAGTTCCAGGACAGGCTCCAAAGCCACAGAGAAACCCTGTCTTGAAAAACCAAAAAATAAAGACATAAAAAAAAAAGAATAGAATCAGCCTGCAAATAGTTCAAAAATTGAATTATATTTATTGAAACATAACATACTGTGTTCTTACCTTATATTTAAATATTATTTTGAGGTGTTTTCCATTTTCATGACTTATATATATTGTAAAATGAGACTCCAAATAAAAACTTTAATTAATACCAAAACACAAAGTATATAGATGTTGGGCATGGTGGCATAAACCTGCAATTAAAGCTTTTTGGGAAGCTGGGACAAGAGGATCACTTGAAGCCCAGGAGTTCATGGAATTCAGGATAAACCTAGACAACATAGCAAGACTATTTCTGATGTGGGAGTGTCATATCAATCTGTTGATTTCATTGGCTGAGCAATAAAGAAACTGCTTGGCTGGCCCTGATAGCTTAGAACATAGGTGGGTGGAATAAACAGAATAAGATGCTGGGCGGAAGAGGAAGTGAGGTCAGACTCTGCGCTGCTTCCAGAGGGACCGGACAGCCGCCATGCTCTGCTCTCCCAGGCAGCTGCAACCCACGATGGACTTAGGCAAGAATCTTCCCGGTAAGCGCACCTTGGAGTGCTTACACACATCATTAGAAATGGGCTAGTCCAGGTGCGAGAATTAGCCTGTAAGGGCTAGAGTTCATGGGCCAAGCAGTTCTTAAATGAATACAGTTTGTGTGTTGTTATTTCGGGCATAAGCTAGCCAAGCGGCGGGGTGTTGGGGACGCAGCCCCGCCGCTTCCTATTTCAACATATTTCTCAAAACAAAACAAAGAAACTATATATGGAAAAGTTCTACATTTTCAGTGTAAGAACATTTTATTAAGAAATCATATACCTTAAATATTACATGAGTAGAACATGTGCCCAGCCCTGAATTTGACCCCCCAGAACTTAAAAAAAGGTTACAGTTATATGAGTATATATAACATAAACTGGAGAGAAGTAAAAAATAAAACTTTGTTTTTCAAATTGAGAAACAAAGAGAATACCTGATTAGAAATCACTCAACATTTCTTAGAAATCTTTCCCATGTTTCACTGAATATCCACTTTTAAATTCAAAGAAACTGAGCCAGCATAGGTGACTTAAACAAGCTTTCTTTGTTCTGTCAACTATAGGAATATGACTGATTCCTTATCTGAGGTGCAGCTATGCTCCATGGTGGACAGGGATGGATGTTAAATCACTTGGCTCAGTTGTTCTGTCTGCCTAACCCTGATTTTTCCCATTTAGAAGAGTATAACTGCTTAGCCTGTGGGGAATCAAACTAACAAACGTGAAGAACTCAATATGAGTTCTAATGTTGGTTGTGTGTCGCCTTTTCTGCTTAGAAAGAGTAAGATGGCAGTGCGGGACTGACTCATATCCTCTTGTAACAGAAGTCACTCTGAAGGGGCGGGGGGTATCCTTCCAAATCTCTATATAGTAATCATTTCTCTGTGTGTACTATAGTGAGGAAGAGAAGAAGTCTGTTCTAGACATGCTACATCTATTTGAATAGAAACTAGGAACGTCTGCAATTCACTACATTGCTTTTCTTTCCATAAATCACCCCCACAGACAAGAAGCACCAACATTCAGTAACCTCAGAAGAGGATGAATACATTTGCATTCCTGTCTCATAGAAATTATTAAAGTGATAGTATTCCAACTCTTCTCAAGCTAACTGAATTGGTCACAAAACAAATAAGATTTTGTTCAGGGATGGTAGTGTACAGAAGTGTGAATTCTAACAGCAGACTGGACAGACATGCCAGGCCCCTTATCACTGACTTTTCCCAATGTCTGATTTCATCCTTACCTCATAAGTAAAGAAAATATATAGCAACAGAAACAGCTTTTCAAATTACACATGCAGGCTTGTAAGAGATAGGATTACAAGCCAAAAGTTTGACTCTAGACCTCATCCACTCACCCATGTAGTCAACATTTATGGAGCATCTGTACTGTGTCAACACTACCCTGGAGCCCCAAATAAAGGAGGTTGCTTTGAAGAGTGTACACTATGTTCCCAATTACTATACTATAGAATCCCTCTCAGATCAACTTGAACATTTATACTAATATTCAGTTACTTACATAATTGAAATTATCCAAAATTGGCTATTGTTATAAATGTCATCAATACATTAGTAAACTGTTGTTTATCATGAAGAGCTGGAGAGATGGTTCAATAATTAAGACCATGTTATTCTTGCAGAGGACCTGGGCTCAATACCCAGCACCCACATAGTGATTCACAGCAATCTGTAACTCTACTTCCAGGAGACCCAATGCCATCTTCTCTGCAAACACCAAACATGTATGTGGTGCACATACATACATGCAAGGAAAACATTCACACATAAAATAAACTAAATAAATCTAAAAAAAATACAGAACATTTCTGAGATAAATGTATGATCAGTCTTCTCTAAGAGAGATCAATCAGAAGACACTGTCTAGTTACTACTTAACAATGTACTTTGAGGGCTGGCAATGCAGCTCAGCAGTAGAGCCCTTAGCATAGCACATGTGAGACCCTAGGTTCAATCCACAATAGTGGGGGCAATGTTACACTTACCTAGGCAATAAACAACATCACATACTAGCTTTGGATTGGTCATTACCCAATTACCCTAAGGTATGACCATGCATGTCTGCTACTGACAGCTGCTTATCTCAGACACACACATGGACCTATGTTTGGGCTGGTCCTTGCTTGATACATACAAGCCTTCTGGTAGGAGAACACGAGATATATTATGTATATTAATAAGCAGGCTCTAAAATAGATAGACTTCAGATTCAAAAGTTTAGTCCAACAGAAGTGAGGATGAAGGACACTATGGAGATGAGGAGGTTATGATGAGATGCTGCTAGGCTGTGGGGAGTCACTCAGGATGAAGGTAATTGGTAACTGTCTTGGAGTACTTTAAACTGGAATATGAATTGTCAGTAAACTCTCCAGTTCAGTGTCTGTCTACAAACATGACTTTAAAACACTTTATTTCAGAGAAAGGAAAAATAATCACCGCATTTTTTTTTTGGAATTCAGATTTGAATTTTTCTCTCCCCTTTCCCCTCCTTTTTCCCCTTCCTTTCTTTTATAGATTTTGGAGACAGTGTTATTCTGTATCACAAGCTGGCACTGAATTCAATATATAACTTATGCTGATCTCAAACTAAGCCTTTTAACACAGCTTACAATGTCTTTGGGTTACAGGTATGTACAAATAACATTCTTTATCTTTTCAGTTCAGCTTTAACAATGGGACTAAGTAGACAGAAAATGGAAATCCTTTTATAAAGTGTCCTAGAATGGACATTAGATATTTTTCATATATAATTGCATACATTTTCACTGTTTGTTTGTCTGAGATGTATATTTGAAGGACAAAAATATAAAAGATTAACAATTACAGGTTTGAGATTGGAGGCAATGAAGTACTGGAATAACCCACGTATTTGCTCACAAGGAGGAAATGAAGCAGCCTTTATTCTACCAGCTAGTGGTTGATGACATAGCACTAACTCCTGTGCATGCTCATAGGTAGTATGGACTTCAAGTAACAAGGGTATAGTCATGTAGTCAATTCATGAAAAACATGCAATAACATAAAGATGCACAGGTAGCTATGGCCTTGGGAAGGGGAGCTGACATGCAGCTGGTGGGAAAAGGAAGGACCTGAAAATTTACCTGACAGTTGGGTAGTCTTGCCTCCCAGCTAGTTGTGAGCACTGTGGCGGTACGGAGGCAGCAGGCTGCTGACAATCTACAAGAAACTAATAAATTAGACATGTATACAAAGAGATGACATACAGGTGTTAGCAACAGTAACTAAAATAGTTGCCTGAGATTTAGTGAGGAATGTGCACTTAGAAACATCTAGGTTAAGTATATTTTCTTTGGGTATGGGTTTTCCTTGACTAATGTCAATAAAAAAGACAGATTTTTCCTTAATTAAATAAAATATTAGAAAAGAACTAATGACATAAAATTAGTAGTAAGATTTTAAAAGTACTATGCCCTGTGTTCACTCATACTTGACAATTTGATGCCTCTAAAGTCAAAGAGTGGATCAATATAAAAAATCTTCAGCTTGTGAATTTGAACATGATGCTGATTACTTGATCAGCACATAGATCTGCTGTCCAAATATGGAATATATTCAGGTAACAGATTTTACTGTCAGGGCATATAGAAATATTGTCAAACTCACAGATATTTTGAGAAAGTCAAACAATACTTTATTAACAGGATATTGACCAAGAAAATTATCTTTACGGTTTTCTGAAACTTGATTGCATTGAAAATAATTGTTAGCAGAAGTCTTAGGTGGTTCACAATATAAGAAAATTTTAGTAACATGGACTGATGAAGGAAAACAACCTTATTAATGGTACTCACTTTGTTTTGTTTTTGTTACTTTAAAGCCACATACTATAATTCATACTAGATTAACTACATGTTATAAGTTGTTAATGTGTTAATCATAAACTCCAAGAAAATAGGTATCTAAACCATCAAAAATCAGTCTGCTTTCTGGCACTGGGTTCACAATATTAGAAATAAAGCAAAAGGCTAGTTTAAAATGCATGCATAATATTTTTGCAAAAAAATCTGAAAAAAGCAAAAATGAGAGTTGGACTTCAAAATTATTCTTGAAGCATTTTCTTTGGTGAACAGTTTAGACATGTAGAAAATATTAAAGCCAAGTCACCTCAAATTCTGGATTTACAGTGATTAGTTAAAACTCTACTGAGATTTATGTTTAAAAGCTCATATCTAAATAGGGTGTGATGGTGCCTGCTTTTAATTCCAGCACTAAAGAGGCAGAGACAGGTGGGTCTTTGTGAGTTCAAGGCCAGCCTGATGTAGAAGAGCTAGTTCAAGATCAGCCAGAGCTGTTACACAGAGAAACCCTGTCTGGAAAAAAAAAAAAGCTCATATCTAAGTTTTTGCTATTCTAAAACCACTATATTCTATGTTATAACAAAACATATCAGAATTTGGTAATTTAGAATATCAAAATTCATAAAAGTGTTCTATATAAGACATTAGAAACACACAAACTTTCTAATGCAGTGTAGAAAGCAACACAAAGTAAGCTTGATTTGAGTTCTCTATAGCATCATTATTGAAGGGTCTCTTTTACACAAGTATCTTTGTTACAGCTTAAATATTTATTATGAATAGAAATGAGGAAATCTGAATCTGTATTAACTGATATTTAGACTATCATACTTGGATTTTTTCCCATTCTCTCAGAACCAGAGGGGAGGTCCCCTTTTTGTTGTTTGACCAAGCTCCAATGGTTCTCTTTTACAAAAACTCAAGTCTCTAGAAATTAATTCCTTTTATATTTAAAATCTCTGTCTGCTCCTTTTGTCTCTTCCAAAAACTTTTTTATCTGTATTATAATTTGGACAAATTTAGATAGCTAATTGAATTTTAATTGAGCCATCAGATATTCAATTTTTAAGTTAACTAGGTGCATTCTGCCCTCCATTAAGTAAGTATGATGGATGGGAAAATGACCTGGACATATATTCTGTAATCTTTACACTTTATATTGTCAGCAAGGGATAAATAGAACATTTCTAAAATAGAGCCTTAACCTTTGTTGAATGGCAATCCTTAGAATCAACTGAAGTATCAAAATTCTTACTTTTTCAAATCTTATGTATACCAGAAATAATTGTTTTGCAATGCAGTTATGACTTAGCATGCACTGAAAATACCTTTCTGGTAATATTTAGAAATAGAGGATCAAGACCACAGTGCACTCCCCTACTAAGCTGCCTGTTTTGGTAACTCTTTACACTTATAATGAACATCATGTTCTCTTTCCTTTTAAAAGATTTTTTACTTTTATTTTATGTGCATGAGTGTTTGCCTACATGTGTGTATATGTATCATATTAGTGCTGGTAGCAACAAGTCAGAAGAGGGTGCCAGATACCTTGGAACTATAGTTACAGGTAACTGTAAACCATATGGTACAACTGAATTTAGGTCCTCTCCAGAAGCAATAGATTAAGAAACAACTGAGCCACCTCTCCAGTCCTATATTCTCTTTTAAAAATAAATCACTTTGGGGCTGGAGAGATGGCTCAGTGGTTAAGAGCATTGCCTGTTCTTCCAGAGGTCCTGAGTTCAATTCCCGGCAACCACATGGTGGCTCACAACCATCTGTAATGAGGTCTGGTGCCCTCTTCTGGCCAGCAGACATACACACAGACAGAATATTGTATACATAATAAATAAATATTTAATAAATAAATAAATAAATAAATCACTTTGCTGGGCATGGTGGTATATGTCTTTAATCCTAGCACTTGGGAGGCAGAGGAAAGCAGATCTCAGTGTTCAAGGTCAGCCTGTTCTACACAGTGAGTTCCAGGCGAGCCAATGTTATATGATGAAATTCTGTCTAAAACATATAGTAAGTAAATAAAAATAAGTATAGACATCACCTCTGGTTATTGTTAATATTCCATGTTTTAAGAGCAAAAACAACAAATTCCAAATGCACAAGCATAATGTAATGATGTGAATAAAACTTTAAAAGCTACATTTCTCTGACTCAACTGTCTCTAAAATCTCCCCTCTGAGTCCCCTGGGTCCACACCCCGCTAATTATGCCCACTTATAGCCAAACTGAATCACAGCATTTTAGCATACACTCTGCAAAGCAAAGCATGTATGCTGGGAGATAGAAAAAAAAATCCTTCTGAGGCTCCAGTTCCTGATCTCCAAGCTCTGACTATGATCTAGCCCAGACAGACTCTTGAGGGAACTGTAGCTGAATTTCATTATTTTTAAAGCATGAAAGATGACAATGATGTGGCTTGCAGAGCACCCACAGCTGATGTTGTCATTTATTAATCAAGATAGTGTCAATTATTCAATAATAAAATTACTAACTTTATGATGGAGACTGTTGGACAATGGGGACAAAAACACAAAGAAGATAAAATCTCTGCTTGACTGAGAAAAACAAACACATTCAGTGAGCACTTACAATAATGTGGTATGGAGATAGTGAGGAGGAGGAAGATGCTAGCTACAGCATCTGGAACTCACTCGTTGCTTACAATGTGTCAGGCACTGTGTTCTTGGCTACGCTTAAATTTCTATCAGCTACCTCAAGAAAGCATTAGCTAGTGAAAGAATACCATCATACAGTTGAGATACTGATTTGAAGAGAATCAAATACACCGAAACACAAAGGAAGATGAAGCATCCAAGAACAGGGATAATATTTTGTGTTCCTATTTTTTTGTTAGATTTGGTTTGCTTGTTTGTTTGTTGTTTGTTTGTTTTTATTTTGATGGTTGAAAACAGATTTCCCTGGTAGAGAGGAAGAAGTTTTGATTTATAGCTTTCTCTCAAGGTTCTACTAGTTTTAACATTTTAAACTGCAATTTAGAAAATTCATCAGTATACTAAAAATCAGTGCCTTAGGGAGTTCCAAAACCCAATGATGGCTGCATGGAATAAGTGAGGGTGCCCTGAGTGGAACAAGTTAGGACACTAGGCTTTGACTCATCCGTCTGCCCACATGACAGCAATAGGTGTGATATGAGATTATAGAAGTAAAATCTGAGCTGTGAGTACACTGTCTGCCAGAATGAGGCTCTAGAAGTTTCTTTGGTTACCACATACTCTGTGAAAAGTGCAGAGCAGCTCTCAATGACACACAGTCTTCTATAGCATGTCATGTTTCCAAAGTAGAACATCTAATGCACCCCGGCTTCTAGTGAAAATATATCTTCAATATTTCTCTTGCACCATGAAACAAATCCAGTGACACTCAAGTTTCTGTGAAAACTATCGATGTTCTCAATACCAAATATTTCAAACTCTTCCTATGAGACATGGTGCCAACTTTTCTCACTCTCCTCTCATGTAACTCCCTCACTCTACTCTAGAGGACATGGTCTAGTGTGGAAACATCTTTCTAACCCTGAGGTGTATGAAAATTAAATCATATATAGATAAGTATGGCAAGAGAAAAATAGCACAGCATACCTGTCTCATCTTAATTATCAAAATCCTATGAAAATAACAAAATCTGTACGACATTTAAAACCATACCCACTGCTATTTCTTGCCAAGCTTTCTTTTTTTACAGATTGTGCTAACAAGTCATGCCTATGAATATATGTTTAGAATGCCAAATAAATATGGATATATATATATTATTAATAAAATTAAGGATACATATGTTGAAATAGTTTATGTAATTTATCTGTCATTTGGGACTTAAGCCCAGGGCCTTGTGCATGCTAAGCATGCATTCTACCACTGAGTTACAACTCCAACTCCTACTTTTTAATGTTTTACGTTTATCCCTAATGCATTTCACCTTTCCCTACTCAAATAATCTTTTTTGTTCTACTCTGTCACTTAATATACTAATCCCTATCCTATTTTTATGTATCAAGTAAAAATGTGGTACTCTGACTTTGGTATCTGTATTTCATACTGGCAGCAACAGAGCTAGGTAGAGATAGATTTCATAAATTTTGATGGGTGATTTTAATTCTTTTCAACCAATTATGAATACAAAAGATTGTATGGCTAATTCTCTATCTGCCTTAATTTTTTAAACAGCTGGTTGTTTGTCAAGATTCAGATATACCACTTACCCTAGTTTTATGCATGAGAATGAAGTTTAGTCAAGCAGAGGTCATTCAGAATGAACTAGACTTTAGCAGTCACCACTGTATTCTAAGCAGATGAACCCATCCATTTCCTGAAATTTGCC